GAAGGATGATGACCTGGTAGGTGGAGCTACAAAGAACAAAAGAAGCTGTGTGAATGTCAGGTAAGAAGTACTAGAGGGTCCTGGTTCTTGAAATTTTGTCTGCTATAGATACGTCTGTATCATTTTCAGTCAGGTTTCCATTTGTAGTTAGAGGCGTTTGTCATCATTCATGTTAGCAGGGGAAAAAAAAAAAAGTTACTCACTGGATATTCTATCCTGTGGGTAGCACAGTGAATCTTGATGTATGCAAACAGCTGGTAAGCTTCTCCTCCAGAGCTTCCAGGGACTTTGAGAAGCAGATGAAACAGAACGACTTGCTCGTGATGTCGGTGCCACTACTGTGGCAGCTTTTTGTCCTAGAAGAAAGAACCATTTGCACAGTTTAGTTACAGTTCTCTACTGCACTGTGCGGGTCTACCCTACACACACACACACACACACGCACGCACACACACACACACGCACACACGCACACACGCACACACACACACACATACCTTCACAGCCTTACAGTAAAATGCCTCCCTGTTAGTCAGGAAGCTGTTCTTATGAAAACAGACACAGACAGGAAAATGATATATAACTCAAGTGTGGGGTTGAAAAGATGACTCAGCACTTAAGAACACTGGCCACTCTTCCAGAGGTCCTGAGTTCAATTCCCAGCTACCACATGGTGGCGCACAACCATCTGTAATGAGATCTGTTCTTCTGGCGTGCAGGTGTACAAGCTGACAGGGCGGCGCGCGCCTGCACACACACGCATGCACGCACACACGCACGCACATGAGTAAAGGCTGGCTGCGGTAGGGAAACAAGATCATAATTATAGTTACTTATTACACTGTCACAGAAATCTTACCTATTGTGATTGACGTAGGGTGGCTATCTTTGACTCTTTATCTCCCTTGCTGGCCTCAGCAAAGTGTCTCAGTGAAATCCCCAGGGCTAGGGCTGTTGTCCAGTGGTGGTGAGCTATTCCCCTGGAGGATCCTTATGCCCCATCTCCTCCTAGGGATCGTCAAAGGGAATAGGTCACCAACACAGGAAAGCAACGAGCCCATACTTCTTGGGGAAGATCTAGAAAAGGGGTCAAAGAAACACAAATTATTGAAGTGAAGTACATTGGGAAATTTGCTTCGTTCTGTAGTATGCAGCAGGTAAATCATGTAGACTTTATGCTGTTGTTAGGGTGGCTTGGAAGGTGGACCCTTACAGATTAGTAGATCCTTATGTTATGGCTATCAACTTAGTAGTGGCATGAGAATTGCCCTGCCTGAGCTCCTTTCTGCCTTTATTCTCTATTATCTATCCACGAGTAATCCTTTATAGTATACATTGTTTATTAACTTTTGTACATTCATCATCAAATACACTGGGAACAAAGGGGTCAAGCAAATGAGAGGTGAAACAAGTGGAAGAAGCCAAGCTTTCTCAACCAAGTGGGCTATGAAGCCACTTAGATAAACTCCATCCAGATTCCCTGAGTTCTGTAAGGATCTTCCTTCATGTTGCCCCTGACTGCTTTGAGAAGTGTCATTTTAAAAACTGAGCAGTCCACATTAATCGAAGTGCCTGGCATCTGGTTGTGGGGCATTTCCCCCTCTTTTGATTTGTGCTTTAAGTAATAGCATACTAGAAACACCGCCACAATGAATAGAATTGTGTTTTGCTCAATCCTTATGGTGCATCTCTGGTAACTGCTGTAGCATCGCACCTGCAGAGTTTGAGGATATTCAGAGAAACCAGCATTGTGACAGTCCTACAAAATGCCATTCATGGTAACAGCTATATCTACTCTATCAAATACAAAAGGCCAGGGTGCCAGAGACAAGCTTTCACAGGCTCTGTCTGTTAGGCATTTCAAAACAGAACTGTTAGACTGGAGAGTGGGTTCAGAGATTAAAGCGCTGGTTGAACCTCTTTCAGGGGTTCAATTCCCAGCAAGCACATGGTGCCTCCCAAGCTTCTGGAATGGGATCTGGTGCCCTCTTCTGGCCTGCAAGCATTCATGCTGGCAGAATACTGTAAAGAATAAATAAATGAGTAAATAAATAAATCTTAAAATGATATGGCCTTAAAAATGAAATCAAATTTTAGTCTCGTTAAATATGTAATCGCCTTTTCAAAGTTCATCTTTAATCTATAGACGCCTTTAAAAATCAAAATCAAATTAAATCCCTTTTCAAGAGGTACCATCGCAATCTGAACCAAGCAAAATCAAACTCCAACAGTTTATATAAATAACTCAACGTCAATTATCTGGGATTCACTCCTGACCATAGCAAAGGGCTATGGTCAGTTCTGCTCCATTCTCTTGATTTTTCCTCTAAGCTCTAGCTGCCCCTGTTCCGCGGCTGCTGCTGTTTTTGGTGGTCTTCTCATGGTCCTGGCATCTCCAAAAGCTTGGGTCCCTCGCTGCAACTGGGCTGCACTTTCCCCAATGCCTCCTAGGCTCTCCCTTATGGTACCAAGCCTCAATTTCTCTGCAATACCCCTTCTCTTCAGCCCTTCACCTTCATCATCTACCTTTCCCGGCCTCTCACAGTGTCAAGCCTCAGCTGCTCTGCATGATCCCTTCATGTCTTCGAAACCAGTACTGCCTGGGTTACACTTGCACATTACCAAGTCCAGCTGCCAGCACGAAGTGCAACTATGCCTCCTCTGGAGCGTCACAAGAAACCCCTTCCCAGACTCCACTAATGATGCTGGTCTCTTCTTAATCACCGCTAATTTCTTAGCCCCAGCTGACCATCAAGTAGCCCATCCCAGTAATGAAAGGTTTCACTTTAGTGGTTCAGGTATCTTGTTAATCACAGCTGATTCTTCAGTTCCAGTTAGCCAGAACCACAGAACCTTACATCAAAACGGCAGCCTTGATAGTCTTTATAATTTTCCCTCTGAAATTTCCCAAGCCAGGCCTCCATCTTCTGCACTGCTCTCAACGTTTTTATCTCCCCGAGCTCCTACAGAACGTCCCACTGAGCTCTCAACACTCAATGGCTTTTCTAGCACAAAGTTCTAAAGTCCTTCCACGATCCTCCCAAAACATGTAGTCAGGTCTGTCACAGCAATGTTCCACTACACTGACACCACAAACTTTTGCACCTCACTCACCCAGGCTCCTTTGCAGGACTTGTCTACCTCTTCCTACCAACCAGATTGTAGATAAATAAGGCTTTGTGTCTTCATTGGCTCCTTATGTTCGTACTGGGTAAACAGATTTCAGGTAAAATGTTGTTGCCTCACACAAACAATGGCCAGAACTAGAAAAAACTATCCTAAGGGAGGTAACACAAAACATAGTATGTACTCACTCATAAGTGGATACCGGACATAAAGCAAAAGATACCTAGCCTACAAACAGTGCATAACCCCAGAGAAGCTAGAACCCTTTTCCAGAAACAGATAAAAGCAGATGGGCCAAGCTCCTAGCGCGCAATCAGAGTAAAGGAGGGAGGAGCGAAAATATGATCAAAGGAGTCAAGACCTTGATGGGGAAACCCACAGAATCAGCTGACCAGAGCTAGTAAGAGATCACTGACTCAGGTCTGACAAGTGGGGAGCCTGCATAAGATCAAAGTAGACTCCCTTAATATAGGCGACAATGGTGCAACTGGGACAATATATGAGGCCACTGGCAATGGGTTCAAGGTCTATCACTAATGCACAAACTGACTTAGCGGAGCCCATTCTATATGGAGAGACACCTTGACCAGCCTAGACAATAAAATAGGGTTTTCATTTCCATCCAATGGGCCAGAGAGGCTTATATGAGGCAATTTTGTCATTTAGAATTCTAGGAGTATTGGAGGCCCTTTCCTCTACTCAGGGATTTATACCTCAACAGTATGCTTTTTCATTTCCACAATCTTACCAATATTTATGCTTACTCTACCTATTCTTTATACTCAATAATATTTTGCTTCTCAATTTTATTGGATTTGTGTTCTTAGTATCCCTCCTCCAAACAAGTTAAGCTATAAGAAATGAGATCACAAATCAGCCAAACAGGATGATTAGAGTACTTGTGTTTAAAAACAACAACAAAAACAAATAAAAACAAAAACCAAAACCAACAAACAAAAAAACTGGCTAGACTTGGTGACCCAGGCCTTTAATGCCAGCACTCTTGAGTCAGTGGTAGGTGGCTCTGTATGGATTTGAGGCCAGCGTGGTTTACATGGATTCCAGGCCAACCAGGTAGCCAGGGCTACATAGTGAGACCCATTCATTCTGTAGGAGATTAACTAGCATAATGAAGAAGGGAAGGCCTTTAAGTTAAAAACTAACATGGTCGTGCAAGCCTGTAATCCTAACACAAGAGGATCATTCTGGCTACATGGGACTTGGAGGCGGACTAGCTTTGGCTACATGAAACCCTATCTTTCAAAAAAGGGTGGGAGGGTAAGTGGTGGTGGCAGAAAGATGGCCCAGCAGTTAAAAAGCACTAACCTCTCTTCCAGGAAACCCAGGTTATATCTCTGCTACCCACAAGGTGGTGCTTCTAACTCCATTCCTTGGGATACGTCTCCCTCTTCTGGCCTCCAAGGGAACAACACCCATTCCTGATGCACAGACATGCAAAGTACCCATGCATAAAATAGTTTTCTAGATTTTATTTTTTAATTAACTTATTTCTCTGAGTAATGTTGGTTTGCCTGCATATATGTCTGTCCAGGTGAGGCTGTCAGATCTCGTTGTGAGCCACCATGTGGGTGCTGGGAATTGAACCCAGGTCCTCTGGGTCTGCTGAGCCATCTCTCCAGCCCTCAGTTTTCTAAATGTTAAGGGAAGAAATTATCACATACAAACTCAATGTTTTCAAAACAAATCATTTTATTTGACAACAAACTCCCCTCATCCACCCGCACCCACCCGCACCCACCCCCTGGCTTGTTATGACATGTATGTGACTTTAGATTGCTTTATGGTAGTCATTGGTTGATGCTAAGCAGCATTTTTTTGATCCTCAAAAGTCACAAAAAGTTCTGGATTCCACATCAGCTCACAAGTCCAAGTATCTTCCATGCCTTTTGGTATAAGAACTCTTTTATAGTTGGTTGGGAAGATGACGATATTGTCTTTAACATCAATAGATTTATTTACAAGTTCGTTTATGCAACCAAAGCAGATGATAATTAAGATGCTCCTTGTTTTTGCTTAATCGGTAGTCATGTTGATGGCAGAAACTGTGAAAGGAAAGCTTTTAGTTATTTTTTTCTTTGCACTTTACAGGAATGTAGCCCCCATCCTTACCCATACAAAGGGATGTTACTGAGTCCAGCCAATCCCATGAATTTAAAGCTAACATTAGTAACACTTTAGCTGTGTGATGCCCAATTTAGTTTTAATAAAAACAAAACAAACAAAAAACTCCCAGACCTCTTCAACCTGGCTCCTTCTACTCTTTCCTTTGTGTGTCAACATTGGCTTGCCAAGCAAAGTACAGTCTAATACTTTATAAGTATGTATAAGTATGGGCTACAGTGAATAAGCCCCCTTACAGCAAATTGTGACTTAAGCTTTAAGGCAATTTGGATAAAGAAATCACATTGATTAAATTAATATGTTTCATTCCTATCTAACTCAAGGCTTAGCTGAAAACCATTTAGATGAAAATACATTTTCGAAATGTTAATAATTTGATACCTCTTCTCAACATTGTTTAGTTATTGGAACTGCATTAAAGCAAAGAACAAGCAGTCCCAATTTAGGTTCCATATAACAGTAATGTTCTTAGGACCAATTGAGAACAAAGGTAAGCAGGTCTTTAGACATAGATTTGACCTTTTCCTTCACTCTTCCTCCTGTCCCACCCTCTGTGAGTGAAGAAAAAAAAAAAAAAAATAGAAAAGGTCAATCACAGTCAGCCCTCTTGTAGAGGCTTTTTTTCAAAGTTCTTTTTTTGATAGTCTTTCTTTCCTCCAATTTTCTGGTTGTTTCCAATTTTATTCTCAAATTTTATGCAAGCATGCTAAAATTTTATGTTATTTTCATCCACTGGCATTATTTTACTGTAGCAATCCGCCTTGAGTACATCTTTTACAGGAAGGAAAACATTTTGAAAATTGATGTATGCTATCTGACTCTATGAAAGAGATCTATTCCGTCAGTTTATGCTTTGGAATGTTTAAAAGGTAAAAAGCTTGAAGACAGACAAAATTTGTAGACGTATTTCAAAGCCTGCTGCCATTCAAAGACAGACTGTTTTTCCAGGGATAATACTAAGACAGAAGTTGGGGAACTAGGTGGCTGTCTGTTATCCTTCCTGACCAGTAGTGGTCACGGTCATAGGTAAAAGTAAGTCATGGGCTAGAATATTTAAGAGGGCTTTTTTGTTTTTTGTTTTTATTTATTTATTTATTTATTTATTTATTTTTGGTTTTTATTTGTTTTTTTAGCAGAGGGCTCACAACTTTAAGAGCAGGCTTACTTACTACAAAGCCCAGCTTCCTCCTGTCCATTGTAGTGGCCAGTGAATAGATGAGCATGAGGAGTTATGCTACTTGTTCCTTGGGGACTGAGTCATGCCACTACCCATAAAGCAGACCCAAAGTTCAGCAGTTCCCTGGGAACGTATGCCTATTTGTTTATGTATTTTACATCGCACGAGCCAAATGAAGGCGTTAGATGCAATTACGTGTAAAGTAGATGAAGAAAATGAATGAATAGTAACATTCCTCCTATATTCTAACCTGAGTCAATTAAAAAGCAAATGTGTTTCAGTCTAGAAAACGTTTGAGCTAATATTTCTTTTTAATGAAGAGCATCACTCTGCCTTTCAAGGCACCTGTAAGTCACACTAAATAAATAAATACCTTTGAAATCACTGATTTCATCTTGATCCTCCTTTGAAACACTTTGAATGAAAGGACAGAGTTTACCTTCTCTTATCCTGGCTTTAAACTAAGCCAGTGAGCAAATGACCTTTGGCGCTTTCTTAGCTAGGGATGTCTTATGTTGAATGAATCGTGGCCTTGATTTTTTTTTTTTTTTTTTTTTTTTTTTTTTTTTTTAATCTCTAGGTCAAGTCATTGGTTCTACTATACCAGACCTATTTAACTAATTCATCAAGCATAGCACCTCCAAGCAAGCAGCTAGTAGCTACTAAAATATTATTTACTCAGTAATTAGATATATTCTATAGGCTGGGCATAGGTACACACATCTGTAATCTCAGCACTCGAGAGTGTGTAACAGATTATCACCAACTAGAACCAGCTTGAGCTGTACAGTGAATGAGACTATGTCTTGGTGTCTCCTCCTCAGCAGGTTGGTGATTGCTACTGCCCTTTACAGTAGGTCCGCCTTACATTGTAGCTTTAGGACCTAGATTAGCATATGATATATATATATATTAGCATTTATATATGTTTTTATTAGATATTACGGTTTGAATGTGAAATGTCCTTCACAACCTCATGCTCTGGGTGTTTGGTCCTCAGCCAATACTTCTATTTTGGGAGGTTCTGGACCACATCAAGTACGTAGCATCTGATGCTCTGGCTCCTTCTTGTCCTTCTGTTCCCTGACATTCAGGCCTGACTCTGGGCCTTTCTTTTCACACCTTTACTGGCAGGTTCTAATTTATCTGCAGGAGCAGTAGTCAACATTTAAGAAACTGGATGGAAAAAAGCAACCAAAACTTTTTCCCCCATCTCTTCAGTCAAGGCAGCAGGGAAGTATCCTTATCTCAACATTTAGCACACCGCGATATACAAATCACTGAAGTTAAGTACAGTTTCGGTCTAGATCTCACATGTCCTGTGAGTACTTCATGAGAGAAAGCAATCTCTGGACAGCACATAACACAGTAAAATACATACATTAGATGGTAAGTATCCTGAGTAAGTTTTAGCTATGAAGAAACTCAGAAAGTTGTCACTGTCCATGGATGAAGCCCACAGTAAGGTCCTGACTTGTAGAAATGCAGACATCATAAAGCCCCACTGTTGTGGGCAATAATGTTGTAGATAATAATAGTGATAATGAGTTTTGGTATTCCCAGTGTCTGGGGATAAAGGCAACTAACTGACTACTAGGCACATACGGCACCTTACAAATTATAATTAACTATTTTGTAATAAGTGATTGCCACTCAAGTCTTGCATTCATCCGATGCTGAGTGCCTCATGTTCACAGTGTTGAACAGTTATTTGCTTTATTTGCACAGTATAATACATGTGACAGAATTTTAAAAGCCTGGAAATTGGTACCAAATAAGAAAATGAATTGTTATGTTTATATGGTACCGCAAAGTTCATAAAATGCCAACATATACATTACTTTCAACTTTGGGTACACCGAAATGTAAGTCTGTGTATTTCTCCGGTACCCATAAGAAAGAATATACCATGTATAGGTAATCAATATTGTTATATTCATTCAGCAGGCATTTAACCTCACTGCGTTCCAGGGCTAGCCTCAAATGTCTGCGCTCAAGCGGTCCTGCTGCTTTAGCTGCCTGAACTCCTCAGCATATGCTACACCCAGCTTGCTAACTATTTATACTATCCTTCTCATCGTAGGCCAAGAGTACAATGAGAATTTTGTAGTGACCATGCCTGTTTTATAGGCAGTTTTGTTTCTATAGAAAACATGTATTGTCTTACATTTCTGTAGTACTTTATGGCTAAGAAGGTATATACAGCCATAACATTTTCCTCCATTACCAGGGCAAATGTTCTTGTGTTAGCTTGCCCTCATCACTAAAGTCTTGACTGATTCAAGTAAGCATTATCTCATTCCTTGGACATAGTATAGAATGTAAACATTCGTACTTCATGGCAGAGTTACTTAACGACAATTTATCTTAGGTTTCCTGTACCTAACACAAAACCTAACATATAGGAGGGGGTTAGTATTCATTCATTCATTCATTCATGCACATAGAGCTATTGACGATTGTACAGTGCTTTAGTTTACAAAGCACTTTCCTGTGTTCTTTTTAAAAAATGTCCCTCTTATTCCTGGTGCTGAGCGATTAGGATATTTTGCAAATTATCAGGTGATCACAATAGGGTAGTCACTTGCATTTGTAGCATATTTTTTAATTTAAAATCAGTTTCCATGTGTTTTCTTGTCTGCTATCTCGTATAATGTATTTTACTGAAAATCATCAAAGCAGTAGAAACACATTGGCCTTAAGTATATAGATTATGCCTCATTCAAGCCATAGTATTTTTTTTTTTTTTTTACAAAGCATGTTGTTTACTCGTTATGCCTACAGAAATCTTTGTACCCATAGCAAATAGACTAATAGAATGCATGTACTAGGTAACATGTATTCATGCAACACTGACTTAGGAGTTTTAGTGTGCTTTACGGTTTATAATTATCCATTTTTATGTACCTGGTAACATCTTCATGTTACCTGGAAGTGACCACAATTAAGCATCACTTCCTTAGTGCTCAGCACAAAGATAGGCATAGAGAAGGAAAATACTGTTACTCAGACATTCCCTGGCATTTATATGATGGCTTGGTCAAGTTCAGGCAACTGGCCTTTTGAAAAGGTTTTGGTTTTTGTTTTGTTTTGTTTTTGCTTTTCCTTTTTCCTTTTTGGAGAATATGCGACTGAGACCAACAGCCCAGAAAGCCTCAGGTATTTATAGTCTGACTCCTTACAGGAAAAGCTCAAATTACATTTTCAAAGGTTAAGTATGCATGGCTGCCAATGTGCTATGATGATGTGACTTTTTTTTTTTCTCCTGTGTTGTATCAGTCATTTAAGTCAAGTTCCCTCTTAAAGGGGGCAGGAGAAACGTGAAGCCTATTAAACAGTACCCAAACTCACTCATCATTAATCCTAAAGGTGGGTGTTAAACCCAGGAGTAGATTCAATGAACTCCACCAAATTACTTGGCCACCACAATGAGCAGGGAATTCAGACCTCGGTCACTCCCAAACCTAATCACTGCTACCATTCATTATGAGAAATCCATACCGTGCTGACCTAAGCCCAAAGAAGGAAGGTGATGCTGGCTGATCCTTCTCAGAAAGTCTGCACACTTGCGTATTGCTTGTCTAATTCTTCTCATTGGTCTGAAGCAGGTCTTCATATTTATCTAGATAGCCTGGTCCTGTTCTCCTCTAACAGTCTGATGCTTTCCTTCCTCATATTAGGGCTTCTGAGTTAGGGAGGACAGAAGAAGTACAGCATCTGTATGGATGCTTGCTTCTAGGGGAATACCGAAAGTCAAACTAGAAACTACTGGCTGGATTTTGTTCTCTCTCTCACATGGAGCAGATGTGAAGAGAAATGGAAGTTTGAAAACATTAAAAAAATTAACAAATGGATAAATCAAGTTTAAAACAGACTATAGATTGACGCCTGTACAATACTATCATTCTAAAAGCTTGTCCCTTTATAGTAAATGACAACATTGAAATGTACACCTCAAGCAAATCTGGCTTAAATGGAAATCTAAGAAATAAAAGGGAACGCTGAGAATGTCCAAGAGAAGAGGGTTTAACAGTATGAAAGTTAGGGGGATCTCATCTTCAGATTTCCCCTGGTTTGGGGATTCTATCCCTCCAGAGTTTTAGGCCGTAGGCCTCAATTTCTAGCCTTTGTCTCTATCCATATAGGCTTGAGTCCTTAGGTCTTGAGCTTGGACTTAGCTTGGGTTTTGTGTCTTATGACGCAGGTCTCAGTTCTTAGACTTCATATGGGTCCATCCTGTAGAAAAGCAGCCTCTCTCCTATGGGTTGTCAGCATTCTCTGTCCATCCAGCCAGCTCAGATAGGCCTTCTGTGTTCCTTGGTCCTTAAGTCGCAAGTCACAAAACATCTGTCTTCCACTTTGGGCCTTTTCATGTGTTTATTTCAGTTCTGCTTCAATCCTGACCGAAGTGCTGTCAGTCTGCCATGAGGAACAGCTCCACTGGTGAGATTCTGTGCCTATTGGGAAGGGGATCACACACAAGCACGCACGCACGCACGCACATAGGCACACGCACATAGGCACACACACAAAGAAATAGCATAGCCAAGAGAAGATTAGAGTAAGAGAGGGAGACACAGACTTTTAAAGACACTAAAATGCTCAGAGTGAGTAAAAAGGGGGAAGTAGAAGAGAAAGTAACACAAACAAGCACAAAGCAATGGAGTAATGCAAATAGCAAAGACACACAGCTATGAAGGGGAAAAAGAGAAAACAGCCCAAAAAAGGGCAGAAAGTATAAAGAGAATTGTGCGCTAAGAATAGAAATAGCAGAAAGATCACACAGGCACCAGGAGAAAAACAAGACAAAACTCTACAAGGAAGTGGTTAGCAGAGAAACATGGGAAAAGGTAAGATACACTATAGATGGAAGAGGAAAAGACACATAAGGAAGGCATAGACATCAGAGCAAGCAAGGAAGAAAGACGTACAAGGCCAGGGAGAAAGACATAGAATACAAGGCCAGGGAGAAAGACATAGACTACAAGGCAGGGAGAAAGACATAGACTACAAGGCAGGGAGAAAGACATACAAGCAAAGAAGAAAGACATAGAATACAAGGCAGGGAGAAAGACATAGAATACAAGGCAGGGAGAAAGACATAGAATACAAGGAAAGGAAGAAAGACTTAGAATACAAGGCAGGGAGAAAGACATACAAGCAAAGAAGAAAGACATAGAATACAAGGCAGGGAGAAAGACATAGAATACAAGGCAGGGAGAAAGACATAGACTACAAGGAAAGGAGACAGACATAGAATACAAGGCAGGGACAAAGACATAGAATACAAGGCAAGGGAGAAAGACACAACACAATTCAAGGAGAAAGACATAGACTACAAGGAAAGGAAGAAAGACTTAGAATACAAGGCAGGGACAAAGACATACAAGCAAAGAAGAAAGACATAGAATACAAGGCAGGGAGAAAGACATAGAACACAAGGAAAGGAGACAGACATAGAATACAAGGCAGGGACAAAGACATAGAATACAAGGAAAGAAGAAAGACATAGAATACAAGGCAGGGACAAAGACATAGAACACAAGGCAGGGACAAAGACATACAAGCAAAGAAGACATAGAATACAAGGAAAGGAGAAAGACATAGAATACAAGGCAGGGAGAAAGACATAGACTACAAGGAAAGGAGAAAGACATAGAATACAATGAAAGGAAGAAAGACATAGACTACAAGGAAAGGAGAAAGACATAGAATACCAGGCAGGGAGAAAGACATAGAATACAAGCAAAGAAGAAAGATATACAAGGCAACGAAGAAAGATACAAGCCAAGAAGACATCCGAGCATGGAAGACAGACATACAAGCAAGGAAGAAAGACATACAACACATGGCAAGGAATAAATGGACACAAAGAAAAATTAGCAATACAAAGCAAAGAAGGACATACAAAACAAGGAGGAAATATATACATTAAAAAAAATTAGACACACAAAGCTAGGAAGACATAAAGCAAGGAGTGAAATGGCCACATAGAATTAGACAGACAAAGAACGGAAGAAATAGATGAATAGAGCAATGAAAAAACAAACGCACAGCACAGCACACACTCACTTACAAGTGAAAGAAGTAAGCAAAGTTCAACAGTAAGAGGGCAAGGGGGGGCGGGACCAGACAGGGAAGGGGGAGAAAAAGGGCTATTAGTACAGTGCTGCTTCGCATACGGGTACTACCTATACTACTCCTGATATTAGTAGATCACAGTAATCCCCTTCTATACTATGTTAAGGAACTCCTTAACATAGAACCAAACAAGCATATCAGCTCTGCTCACTACAGAATGTTTGTACTCACTTAAGATAATCCAGGGTATATGTTTTACTTGCCAGGCATTATATTAAGCACTTTCATTAATGATTTCAATTGACCTTCACAAACAGGCAACTCTGACCAGAGAGGACATTGGCAAAGGCCATACCACCAATGAGCAGGAGATTTAAACACAGGATGAACACCACTTAACATTCTGTTATATGGATTTTCTGATTTCCATAAGCGCCACATGTCACAGGTGAGTGCATATTTTAATTGTTAGATTCCCTTTCCCCATCATTTCAAGAAAATGGGCTCTTAAGAACAGTAGAACACCAAGCCAAAAAAAGGCAACTTGTGGCTGTATTCCTGTGTGATGCCACTGGTGACCAGACTAGAATCTGAGTGGCTGCTGTGAACCCAATTGGTAATAAATAATGTGGAAGCCTGATCATCCTCCATGTGTATTTGGCCCTACTTTACATAACATTAGGAACCCCACACTCCACCCAGCACGGCCTGATGCTAACCCTCCCTCATAGGACTGCAATGCTGGCAACTTACTTCATTCTGTTGTGGTTTTAAGATGCAGGCATGTTGGTCCTTGGCTCATGAGGCTGGCTTCCCTTCATGATCCTGCTGAAGATGCAGCTTCCTGTACTGCTTTGGGGAAGGATGATGACCTGGTAGGTGGAGCTACAAAGAACAAAAGAAGCTGTGTGAATGTCAGGTAAGAAGTACTAGAGGGTCCTGGTTCTTGAAATTTTGTCTGCTATAGATACGTCTGTATCATTTTCAGTCAGGTTTCCATTTGTAGTTAGAGGCGTTTGTCATCATTCATGTTAGCAGGGGAAAAAAAAAAAAGTTACTCACTGGATATTCTATCCTGTGGGTAGCACAGTGAATCTTGATGTATGCAAACAGCTGGTAAGCTTCTCCTCCAGAGCTTCCAGGGACTTTGAGAAGCAGATGAAACAGAACGACTTGCTCGTGATGTCGGTGCCACTACTGTGGCAGCTTTTTGTCCTAGAAGAAAGAACCATTTGCACAGTTTAGTTACAGTTCTCTACTGCACTGTGCGGGTCTACCCTACACACACACACACACACACACACACACACACACACACACACACACACACACACACACGCACACGTACGCACACACACACACATACCTTCACAGCCTTACAGTAAAATGCCTCCCTGTTAGTCAGGAAGCTGTTCTTATGAAAACAGACACAGACAGGAAAATGATATATAACTCAAGTGTGGGGTTGAAAAGATGACTCAGCACTTAAGAACACTGGCCACTCTTCCAGAGGTCCTGAGTTCAATTCCCAGCTACCACATGGTGGCGCACAACCATCTGTAATGAGATCTGTTCTTCTGGCGTGCAGGTGTACAAGCTGACAGGGCGGCGCGCGCCTGCACACACACGCATGCACGCACACACGCACGCACATGAGTAAAGGCTGGCTGCGGTAGGAAACAAGATCATAATTATAGTTACTTATTACACTGTCACAGAAATCTTACCTATTGTGATTGACGTAGGGTGGCTATCTTTGACTCTTTATCTCCCTTGCTGGCCTCAGCAAAGTGTCTCAGTGAAATCCCCAGGGCTAGGGCTGTTGTCCAGTGGTGGTGAGCTATTCCCCTGGAGGATCCTTATGCCCCATCTCCTCCTAGGGATCGTCAAAGGGAATAGGTCACCAACACAGGAAAGCAACGAGCCCATACTTCTTGGGGAAGATCTAGAAAAGGGGTCAAAGAAACACAAATTATTGAAGTGAAGTACATTGGGAAATTTGCTTCGTTCTGTAGTATGCAGCAGGTAAATCATGTAGACTTTATGCTGTTGTTAGGGTGGCTTGGAAGGTGGACCCTTACAGATTAGTAGATCCTTATGTTATGGCTATCAACTTAGTAGTGGCATGAGAATTGCCCTGCCTGAGCTCCTTTCTGCCTTTATTCTCTATTATCTATCCACGAGTAATCCTTTATAGTATACATTGTTTATTAACTTTTGTACATTCATCATCAAATACACTGGGAACAAAGGGGTCAAGCAAATGAGAGGTGAAACAAGTGGAAGAAGCCAAGCTTTCTCAACCAAGTGGGCTATGAAGCCACTTAGATAAACTCCATCCAGATTCCCTGAGTTCTGTAAGGATCTTCCTTCATGTTGCCCCTGACTGCTTTGAGAAGTGTCATTTTAAAAACTGAGCAGTCCACATTAATCGAAGTGCCTGGCATCTGGTTGTGGGGCATTTCCCCCTCTTTTGATTTGTGCTTTAAGTAATAGCATACTAGAAACACCGCCACAATGAATAGAATTGTGTTTTGCTCAATCCTTATGGTGCATCTCTGGTAACTGCTGTAGCATCGCACCTGCAGAGTTTGAGGATATTCAGAGAAACCAGCATTGTGACAGTCCTACAAAATGCCATTCATGGTAACAGCTATATCTACTCTATCAAATACAAAAGGCCAGGGTGCCAGAGACAAGCTTTCACAGGCTCTGTCTGTTAGGCATTTCAAAACAGAACTGTTAGACTGGAGAGTGGGTTCAGAGATTAAAGCGCTGGTTGAACCTCTTTCAGGGGTTCAATTCCCAGCAAGCACATGGTGCCCCTCCCAAGCTTCTGGAATGGGATCTGGTGCCCTCTTCTGGCCTGCAAGCATTCATGCTGGCAGAATACTGTAAAGAATAAATAAATGAGTAAATAAATAAATCTTAAAATGATATGGCCTTAAAAAATGAAATCAAATTTTAGTCTCGTTAAATATGTAATCGCCTTTTCAAAGTTCATCTTTAATCTATAGGCGCCTTTAAAAATCAAAATCAAATTAAATCCCTTTTCAAGAGGTACCATCGCAATCTGAACCAAGCAAAATCAAACTCCAACAGTTTATATAAATAACTCAACGTCAATTATCTGGGATTCACTCCTGACCATAGCAAAGGGCTATGGTCAGTTCTGCTCCATTCTCTTGATTTTTCCTCTAAGCTCTAGCTGCCCCTGTTCCGCGGCTGCTGCTGTTTTTGGTGGTCTTCTCATGGTCCTGGCATCTCCAAAAAGCTTGGGTCCCTCGCTGCAACTGGGCTGCACTTTCCCCAATGCCTCCTAGGCTCTCCTTATGGTACCAAGCCTCAATTTCTCTGCAATACCCCTTCTCTTCAGCCCTTCACCTTCATCATCTACCTTTCCGGCCTCTCACAGTGTCAAGCCTCAGCTGCTCTGCATGATCCCTTCATGTCTTCGAAACCAGTACTGCCTGGGTTACACTTGCACATTACCAAGTCCAGCTGCCAGCACGAAGTGCAACTATGCCTCCTCTGGAGCGTCACAAGAAACCCTTCCCAGACTCCACTAATGATGCTGGTCTCTTCTTAATCACCGCTAATTTCTTAGCCCCAGCTGACCATCAAGTAGCCCATCCCAGTAATGAAAGGTTTCACTTTAGTGGTTCAGGTATCTTGTTAATCACAGCTGATTCTTCAGTTCCAGTTAGCCAGAACCACAGAACCTTACATCAAAACGGCAGCCTTGATAGTCTTTATAATTTTCCCTCTGAAATTTCCCAAGCCAGGCCTCCATCTTCTGCACTGCTCTCAACGTTTTTATCTCCCGAGCTCCTACAGAACGTCCCACTGAGCTCTCAACACTCAATGGCTTTTCTAGCACAAAGTTCTAAAGTCCTTCCACGATCCTCCCAAAACATGTAGTCAGGTCTGTCACAGCAATGTTCCACTACACTGACACCACAAACTTTTGCACCTCACTCACCCAGGCTCCTTTGCAGGACTTGTCTACCTCTTCCTACCAACCAGATTGTAGATAAATAAGGCTTTGTGTCTTCATTGGCTCCTTATGTTCGTACTGGGTAAACAGATTTCAGGTAAAATGTTGTTGCCTCACACAAACAATGGCCAGAACTAGAAAAAACTATCCTAAGGGAGGTAACACAAAACATAGTATGTACTCACTCATAAGTGGATACCGGACATAAAGCAAAAGATACCTAGCCTACAAACAGTGCATAACCCCAGAGAAGCTAGAACCCTTTTCCAGAAACAGATAAAAGCAGATGGGCCAAGCTCCTAGCGCAATCAGAGTAAAGGAGGGAGGAGCGAAAATATGATCAAAGGAGTCAAGACCTTGATGGGGGAAACCCACAGAATCAGCTGACCAGAGCTAGTAAGAGATCACTGACTCAGGTCTGACAAGTGGGGAGCCTGCATAAGATCAAAGTAGACTCCCTTAATATAGGCGACAATGGTGCAACTGGGACAATATATGAGGCCACTGGCAATGGGTTCAAGGTCTATCACTAATGCACAAACTGACTTAGCGGAGCCCATTCTATATGGAGAGACACCTTGACCAGCCTAGACAATAAAATAGGGTTTTCATTTCCATCCAATGGGCCAGAGAGGCTTATATGAGGCAATTTTGTCATTTAGAATTCTAGGAGTATTGGAGGCCCTTTCCTCTACTCAGGGATTTATACCTCAACAGTATGCTTTTTCATTTCCACAATCTTACCAATATTTATGCTTACTCTACCTATTCTTTATACTCAATAATATTTTGCTTCTCAATTTTATTGGATTTGTGTTCTTAGTATCCCTCCTCCAAACAAGTTAAGCTATAAGAAATGAGATCACAAATCAGCCAAACAGGATGATTAGAGTACTTGTGTTTAAAAACAACAACAAAAACAAATAAAAACAAAAACCAAAACCAACAAACAAAAAAACTGGCTAGACTTGGTGACCCAGGCCTTTAATGCCAGCACTCTTGAGTCAGTGGTAGGTGGCTCTGTATGGATTTGAGGCCAGCGTGGTTTACATGGATTCCAGGCCAACCAGGTAGCCAGGGCTACATAGTGAGACCCATTCATTCTGTAGGAGATTAACTAGCATAATGAAGAAGGGAAGGCCTTTAAGTTAAAAACTAACATGGTCGTGCAAGCCTGTAATCCTAACACAAGAGGATCATTCTGGCTACATGGGACTTGGAGGCGGACTAGCTTTGGCTACATGAAACCCTATCTTTCAAAAAAGGGTGGGAGGGTAAGTGGTGGTGGCAGAAAGATGGCCCAGCAGTTAAAAAGCACTAACCTCTCTTCCAGGAAACCCAGGTTATATCTCTGCTACCCACAAGGTGGTGCTTCTAACTCCATTCCTTGGGATACGTCTCCCTCTTCTGGCCTCCAAGGGAACAACACCCACTCCCTGATGCACAGACATGCAAAGTACCCATGCATAAAATAGTTTTCTAGATTTTATTTTTTAATTAACTTATTTCTCTGAGTAATGTTGGTTTGCCTGCATATATGTCTGTCCAGGTGAGGCTGTCAGATCTCGTTGTGAGCCACCATGTGGGTGCTGGGAATTGAACCCAGGTCCTCTGGGTCTGCTGAGCCATCTCTCCAGCCCTCAGTTTTCTAAATGTTAAGGGAAGAAATTATCACATACAAACTCAATGTTTTCAAAACAAATCATTTTATTTGACAACAAACTCCCCTCATCCACCCGCACCCACCCGCACCCACCCCCTGGCTTGTTATGACATGTATGTGACTTTAGATTGCTTTATGGTAGTCATTGGTTGATGCTAAGCAGCATTTTTTTGATCCTCAAAAGTCACAAAAAGTTCTGGATTCCACATCAGCTCACAAGTCCAAGTATCTTCCATGCCTTTTGGTATAAGAACTCTTTTATAGTTGGTTGGGAAGATGACGATATTGTCTTTAACATCAATAGATTTATTTACAAGTTCGTTTATGCAACCAAAGCAGATGATAATTAAGATGCTCCTTGTTTTTGCTTAATCGGTAGTCATGTTGATGGCAGAAACTGTGAAAGGAAAGCTTTTAGTTATTTTTTTCTTTGCACTTTACAGGAATGTAGCCCCCATCCTTACCCATACAAAGGGATGTTACTGAGTCCAGCCAATCCCATGAATTTAAAGCTAACATTAGTAACACTTTAGCTGTGTGATGCCCAATTTAGTTTTAATAAAAACAAAACAAACAAAAAACTCCCAGACCTCTTCAACCTGGCTCCTTCTACTCTTTCCTTTGTGTGTCAACATTGGCTTGCCAAGCAAAGTACAGTCTAATACTTTATAAGTATGTATAAGTATGGGCTACAGTGAATAAGCCCCCCTTACAGCAAATTGTGACTTAAGCTTTAAGGCAATTTGGATAAAGAAATCACATTGATTAAATTAATATGTTTCATTCCTATCTAACTCAAGGCTTAGCTGAAAACCATTTAGATGAAAATACATTTTCGAAATGTTAATAATTTGATACCTCTTCTCAACATTGTTTAGTTATTGGAACTGCATTAAAGCAAAGAACAAGCAGTCCCAATTTAGGTTCCATATAACAGTAATGTTCTTAGGACCAATTGAGAACAAAGGTAAGCAGGTCTTTAGACATAGATTTGACCTTTTCCTTCACTCTTCCTCCTGTCCCACCCTCTGTGAGTGAAGAAAAAAAAAAAATAGAAAAGGTCAATCACAGTCAGCCCTCTTGTAGAGGCTTTTTTTCAAAGTTCTTTTTTTGATAGTCTTTCTTTCCTCCAATTTTCTGGTTGTTTCCAATTTTATTCTCAAATTTTATGCAAGCATGCTAAAATTTTATGTTATTTTCATCCACTGGCATTATTTTACTGTAGCAATCCGCCTTGAGTACATCTTTTACAGGAAGGAAAACATTTTGAAAATTGATGTATGCTATCTGACTCTATGAAAGAGATCTATTCCGTCAGTTTATGCTTTGGAATGTTTAAAAGGTAAAAAGCTTGAAGACAGACAAAATTTGTAGACGTATTTCAAAGCCTGCTGCCATTCAAAGACAGACTGTTTTTCCAGGGATAATACTAAGACAGAAGTTGGGGAACTAGGTGGCTGTCTGTTATCCTTCCTGACCAGTAGTGGTCACGGTCATAGGTAAAAGTAAGTCATGGGCTAGAATATTTAAGAGGGCTTTTTGTTTTTTGTTTTTATTTATTTATTTATTTATTTTTGGTTTTTATTTGTTTTTTAGCAGAGGGCTCACAACTTTAAGAGCAGGCTTACTTACTACAAAGCCCAGCTTCCTCCTGTCCATTGTAGTGGCCAGTGAATAGATGAGCATGAGGAGTTATGCTACTTGTTCCTTGGGGACTGAGTCATGCCACTACCCATAAAGCAGACCCAAAGTTCAGCAGTTCCCTGGGAACGTATGCCTATTTGTTTATGTATTTTACATCGCACGAGCCAAATGAAGGCGTTAGATGCAATTACGTGTAAAGTAGATGAAGAAAATGAATGAATAGTAACATTCCTCCTATATTCTAACCTGAGTCAATTAAAAGCAAATGTGTTTCAGTCTAGAAAACGTTTGAGCTAATATTTCTTTTTAATGAAGAGCATCACTCTGCCTTTCAAGGCACCTGTAAGTCACACTAAATAAATAAATACCTTTGAAATCACTGATTTCATCTTGATCCTCCTTTGAAACACTTTGAATGAAAGGACAGAGTTTACCTTCTCTTATCCTGGCTTTAAACTAAGCCAGTGAGCAAATGACCTTTGGCGCTTTCTTAGCTAGGGATGTCTTATGTTGAATGAATCGTGGCCTTGATTTTTTTTTTTTTTTTTTTTTTAATCTCTAGGTCAAGTCATTGGTTCTACTATACCAGACCTATTTAACTAATTCATCAAGCATAGCACCTCCAAGCAAGCAGCTAGTAGCTACTAAAATATTATTTACTCAGTAATTAGATATATTCTATAGGCTGGGCATAGGTACACACATCTGTAATCTCAGCACTCGAGAGTGTAACAGATTATCACCAACTAGAACCAGCTTGAGCTGTACAGTGAATGAGACTATGTCTTGGTGTCTCCTCCTCAGCAGGTTGGTGATTGCTACTGCCCTTTACAGTAGGTCCGCCTTACATTGTAGCTTTAGGACCTAGATTAGCATATGATATATATATTAGCATGTATATATGTTTTTATTAGATATTACGGTTTGAATGTGAAATGTCCTTCACAACCTCATGCTCTGGGTGTTTGGTCCTCAGCCAATACTTCTATTTTGGGAGGTTCTGGACCACATCAAGTACGTAGCATCTGATGCTCTGGCTCCTTCTTGTCCTTCTGTTCCCTGACATTCAGGCCTGACTCTGGGCCTTTCTTTTCACACCTTTACTGGCAGGTTCTAATTTATCTGCAGGAGCAGTAGTCGACATTTAAGAAACTGGATGGAAAAAGCAACCAAAACTTTTTCCCCCCATCTCTTCAGTCAAGGCAGCAGGGAAGTATCCTTATCTCAACATTTAGCACACCGCGATATACAAATCACTGAAGTTAAGTACAGTTTCGGTCTAGATCTCACATGTCCTGTGAGTACTTCATGAGAGAAAGCAATCTCTGGACAGCACATAACACAGTAAAATACATACATTAGATGGTAAGTATCCTGGAGTAAGTTTTAGCTATGAAGAAACTCAGAAAGTTGTCACTGTCCATGGATGAAGCCCACAGTAAGGTCCTGACTTGTAGAAATGCAGACATCATAAAGCCCCACTGTTGTGGGCAATAATGTTGTAGATAATAATAGTGATAATGAGTTTTGGTATTCCCAGTGTCTGGGGATAAAGGCAACTAACTGACTACTAGGCACATATGGCACCTTACAAATTATAATTAACTATTTTGTAATAAGTGATTGCCACTCAAGTCTTGCATTCATCCGATGCTGAGTGCCTCATGTTCACAGTGTTGAACAGTTATTTGCTTTATTTGCACAGTATAATACATGTGACAGAATTTTAAAAGCCTGGAAATTGGTACCAAATAAGAAAATGAATTGTTATGTTTATATGGTACCGCAAAGTTCATAAAATGCCAACATATACATTACTTTCAACTTTGGGTACACCGAAATGTAAGTCTGTGTATTTCTCCGGTACCCATAAGAAAGAATATACCATGTATAGGTAATCAATATTGTTATATTCATTCAGCAGGCATTTAACCTCACTGCGTTCCAGGGCTAGCCTCAAATGTCTGCGCTCAAGCGGTCCTGCTGCTTTAGCTGCCTGAACTCCTCAGCATATGCTACACCCAGCTTGCTAACTATTTATACTATCCTTCTCATCGTAGGCCAAGAGTACAATGAGAATTTTGTAGTGACCATGCCTGTTTTATAGGCAGTTTTGTTTCTATAGAAAACATGTATTGTCTTACATTTCTGTAGTACTTTATGGCTAAGAAGGTATATACAGCCATAACATTTTCCTCCATTACCAGGGCAAATGTTCTTGTGTTAGCTTGCCCTCATCACTAAAGTCTTGACTGATTCAAGTAAGCATTATCTCATTCCTTGGACATAGTATAGAATGTAAACATTCGTACTTCATGGCAGAGTTACTTAACGACAATTTATCTTAGGTTTCCTGTACCTAACACAAAACCTAACATATAGGAGGGGGTTAGTATTCATTCATTCATTCATTCATGCACATAGAGCTATTGACGATTGTACAGTGCTTTAGTTTACAAAGCACTTTCCTGTGTTCTTTTTAAAAAAATGTCCCTCTTATTCCTGGTGCTGAGCGATTAGGATATTTTGCAAATTATCAGGTGATCACAATAGGGTAGTCACTTGCATTTGTAGCATATTTTTTAATTTAAAATCAGTTTCCATGTGTTTTCTTGTCTGCTATCTCGTATAATGTATTTTACTGAAAATCATCAAAGCAGTAGAAACACATTGGCCTTAAGTATATAGATTATGCCTCATTCAAGCCATAGTATTTTTTTTTTTTTTTACAAAGCATGTTGTTTACTCGTTATGCCTACAGAAATCTTTGTACCCATAGCAAATAGACTAATAGAATGCATGTACTAGGTAACATGTATTCATGCAACACTGACTTAGGAGTTTTAGTGTGCTTTACGGTTTATAATTATCCATTTTTATGTACCTGGTAACATCTTCATGTTACCTGGAAGTGACCACAATTAAGCATCACTTCCTTAGTGCTCAGCACAAAGATAGGCATAGAGAAGGAAAATACTGTTACTCAGACATTCCCTGGCATTTATATGATGGCTTGGTCAAGTTCAGGCAACTGGCCTTTTGAAAAGGTTTTGGTTTTTGTTTTGTTTTGTTTTTGCTTTTCCTTTTTCCTTTTTGGAGAATATGCGACTGAGACCAACAGCCCAGAAAGCCTCAGGTATTTATAGTCTGACTCCTTACAGGAAAAGCTCAAATTACATTTTCAAAGGTTAAGTATGCATGGCTGCCAATGTGCTATGATGATGTGACTTTTTTTTTCTCCTGTGTTGTATCAGTCATTTAAGTCAAGTTCCCTCTTAAAGGGGGCAGGAGAAACGTGAAGCCTATTAAACAGTACCCAAACTCACTCATCATTAATCCTAAAGGTGGGTGTTAAACCCAGGAGTAGATTCAATGAACTCCACCAAATTACTTGGCCACCACAATGAGCAGGGAATTCAGACCTCGGTCACTCCCAAACCTAATCACTGCTACCATTCATTATGAGAAATCCATACCGTGCTGACCTAAGCCCAAAGAAGGAAGGTGATGCTGGCTGATCCTTCTCAGAAAGTCTGCACACTTGCGTATTGCTTGTCTAATTCTTCTCATTGGTCTGAAGCAGGTCTTCATATTTATCTAGATAGCCTGGTCCTGTTCTCCTCTAACAGTCTGATGCTTTCCTTCCTCATATTAGGGCTTCTGAGTTAGGGAGGACAGAAGAAGTACAGCATCTGTATGGATGCTTGCTTCTAGGGGAATACCGAAAGTCAAACTAGAAACTACTGGCTGGATTTTGTTCTCTCTCTCACATGGAGCAGATGTGAAGAGAAATGGAAGTTTGAAAACATTAAAAAAATTAACAAATGGATAAATCAAGTTTAAAACAGACTATAGATTGACGCCTGTACAATACTATCATTCTAAAAGCTTGTCCCTTTATAGTAAATGACAACATTGAAATGTACACCTCAAGCAAATCTGGCTTAAATGGAAATCTAAGAAATAAAAGGGAACGCTGAGAATGTCCAAGAGAAGAGGGTTTAACAGTATGAAAGTTAGGGGGATCTCATCTTCAGATTTCCCCTGGTTTGGGGATTCTATCCCTCCAGAGTTTTAGGCCGTAGGCCTCCAATTTCTAGCCTTTGTCTCTATCCATATAGGCTTGAGTCCTTAGGTCTTGAGCTTGGACTTAGCTTGGGTTTTGTGTCTTATGACGCAGGTCTCAGTTCTTAGACTTCATATGGGTCCATCCTGTAGAAAAGCAGCCTCTCTCCTATGGGTTGTCAGCATTCTCTGTCCATCCAGCCAGCTCAGATAGGCCTTCTGTGTTCCTTGGTCCTTAAGTCGCAAGTCACAAAACATCTGTCTTCCACTTTGGGCCTTTTCATGTGTTTATTTCAGTTCTGCTTCAATCCTGACCGAAGTGCTGTCAGTCTGCCATGAGGAACAGCTCCACTGGTGAGATTCTGTGCCTATTGGGAAGGGGATCACACACAAGCACGCACGCACGCACGCACATAGGCACACGCACATAGGCACACACACAAAGAAATAGCATAGCCAAGAGAAGATTAGAGTAAGAGAGGGAGACACAGACTTTTAAAGACACTAAAATGCTCAGAGTGAGTAAAAAGGGGGAAGTAGAAGAGAAAGTAACACAAACAAGCACAAAGCAATGGAGTAATGCAAATAGCAAAGACACACAGCTATGAAGGGAAAAAGAGAAAACAGCGCAAAAAAGGGCAGAAAGTATAAAGAGAATTGTGTGCTAAGAATAGAAATAGCAGAAAGATCACACAGGCACCAGGAGAAAACAAGACAAAACTCTACAAGGAAGTGGTTAGCAGAGAAACATGGGAAAAGGTAAGATACACTATAGATGGAAGAGGAAAAGACACATAAGGAAGGCATAGACATCAGAGCAAGCAAGGAAGAAAGACGTACAAGGCCAGGGAGAAAGACATAGAATACAAGTCAGGGAGAAAGACATAGACTACAAGGCAGGGAGAAAGACATACAAGCAAAGAAGAAAGACATAGAATACAAGGAAAGGAAGAAAGACTTAGAATACAAGGCAGGGAGAAAGACATACAAGCAAAAGAAGAAAGACATAGAATACAAGGCAGGGAGAAAGACATAGAATACAAGGAAAGGAGACAGACATAGAATACAAGGCAGGGACAAAGACATAGAATACAAGGCAAGGGAGAAAGACACAACACAATTCAAGGAGAAAGACATAGACTACAAGGAAAGGAAGAAAGACTTAGAATACAAGGCAGGGACAAAGACATACAAGGAAAGAAGAAAGACATAGAATACAAGGCAGGGACAAAGACATAGAATACAAGGAAAGGAAGAAAGACTTAGAATACAAGGCAGGGAGAAAGACATACAAGCAAAGAAGAAAGACATAGAATACAAGGCAGGGACAAAGACATAGAACACAAGGCAGGGACAAAGACATACAAGCAAAGAAGACATAGAATACAAGGAAAGGAGAAAGACATAGAATACAAGGAAAGGAGAAAGACATAGAATACAAGGAAAGGAGAAAGACATAGAATACCAGGCAGGGAGAAAGACATAGACTACAAGCAAAGAAGAAAGATATACAAGGCAACGAAGAAAGATACAAGCCAAGAAGACATCCGAGCATGGAAGACAGACATACAAGCAAGGAAGAAAGACATACAACACATGGCAAGGAATAAATGGACACAAAGAAAAATTAACAATACAAAGCAAAGAAGGACATACAAAACAAGGAGGAAATATATACATTAAAAAAAATTAGACACACAAAGCTAGGAAGACATAAAGCAAGGAGTGAAATGGCCACATAGAATTAGACAGACAAAGAACGGAAGAAATAGATGAATAGAGCAATGAAAAAACAAACGCACAGCACAGCACACACTCACTTACAAGTGAAAGAAGTAAGCAAAGTTCAACAGTAAGAGGGCAAGGGGGGGGGGCGGGACCAGACAGGGAAGGGGGAGAAAAAGGGCTATTAGTACAGTGCTGCTTCGCATACGGGTACTACCTATACTACTCCTGATATTAGTAGATCACAGTAATCCCCTTCTATACTATGTTAAGGAACTCCTTAACATAGAACCAAACAAGCATATCAGCTCTGCTCACTACAGAATGTTTGTACTCACTTAAGATAATCCAGGGTATATGTTTTACTTGCCAGGCATTATATTAAGCACTTTCATTAATGATTTCAATTGACCTTCACAAACAGGCAACTCTGACCAGAGAGGACATTGGCAAAGGCCATACCACCAATGAGCAGGAGATTTAAACACAGGATGAACACCACTTAACATTCTGTTATATGGATTTTCTGATTTCCATAAGCGCCACATGTCACAGGTGAGTGCGTATTTTAATTGTTAGATTCCCTTTCCCCATCATTTCAAGAAAATGGGCTCTTAAGAACAGTAGAACACCAAGCCAAAAAAAGGCAACTTGTGGCTGTATTCCTGTGTGATGCCACTGGTGACCAGACTAGAATCTGAGTGGCTGCTGTGAACCCAATTGGTAATAAATAATGTGGAAGCCTGATCATCCTCCATGCGTATTTGGCCCTACTTTACATAACATTAAGAACCCCACACTCCACCCAGCACGGCCTGATGCTAATCCTCCCTCATAGGACTGCAATGCTGGCAACTTACTTCATTCTGTTGTGGTTTTAAGATGCAGGCATGTTGGTCCTTGGCTCATGAGGCTGGCTTCCCTTCATGATCCTGCTGAAGATGCAGCTTCCTGTACTGCTTTGGGGAAGGATGATGACCTGGTAGGTGGAGCTACAAAGAACAAAAGAAGCTGTGTGAATGTCAGGTAAGAAGTACTAGAGGGTCCTGGTTCTTGAAATTTTGTCTGCTATAGATACGTCTGTATCATTTTCAGTCAGGTTTCCATTTGTAGTTAGAGGCGTTTGTCATCATTCATGTTAGCAGGGAAAAAAAAAAAAAAAGTTACTCACTGGATATTCTATCCTGTGGGTAGCACAGTGAATCTTGATGTATGCAAACAGCTGGTAAGCTTCTCCTCCAGAGCTTCCAGGGACTTTGAGAAGCAGATGAAACAGAACGACTTGCTCGTGATGTCGGTGCCACTACTGTGGCAGCTTTTTGTCCTAGAAGAAAGAACCATTTGCACAGTTTAGTTACAGTTCTCTACTGCACTGTGCGGGTCTACCCTACACACACACACACACACACGCACGCACACACGCACACACGCACACACGCACACACACACACACATACCTTCACAGCCTTACAGTAAAATGCCTCCCTGTTAGTCAGGAAGCTGTTCTTATGAAAACAGACACAGACAGGAAAATGATATATAACTCAAGTGTGGGGTTGAAAAGATGACTCAGCACTTAAGAACACTGGCCACTCTTCCAGAGGTCCTGAGTTCAATTCCCAGCTACCACATGGTGGCGCACAACCATCTGTAATGAGATCTGTTCTTCTGGCGTGCAGGTGTACAAGCTGACAGGGCGGCGCGCGCCTGCACACACACGCATGCACGCACACACGCACGCACATGAGTAAAGGCTGGCTGCGGTAGGAAACAAGATCATAATTATAGTTACTTATTACACTGTCACAGAAATCTTACCTATTGTGATTGACGTAGGGTGGCTATCTTTGACTCTTTATCTCCCTTGCTGGCCTCAGCAAAGTGTCTCAGTGAAATCCCCAGGGCTAGGGCTGTTGTCCAGTGGTGGTGAGCTATTCCCCTGGAGGATCCTTATGCCCCATCTCCTCCTAGGGATCGTCAAAGGGAATAGGTCACCAACACAGGAAAGCAACGAGCCCATACTTCTTGGGGAAGATCTAGAAAAGGGGTCAAAGAAACACAAATTATTGAAGTGAAGTACATTGGGAAATTTGCTTCGTTCTGTAGTATGCAGCAGGTAAATCATGTAGACTTTATGCTGTTGTTAGGGTGGCTTGGAAGGTGGACCCTTACAGATTAGTAGATCCTTATGTTATGGCTATCAACTTAGTAGTGGCATGAGAATTGCCCTGCCTGAGCTCCTTTCTGCCTTTATTCTCTATTATCTATCCACGAGTAATCCTTTATAGTATACATTGTTTATTAACTTTTGTACATTCATCATCAAATACACTGGGAACAAAGGGGTCAAGCAAATGAGAGGTGAAACAAGTGGAAGAAGCCAAGCTTTCTCAACCAAGTGGGCTATGAAGCCACTTAGATAAACTCCATCCAGATTCCCTGAGTTCTGTAAGGATCTTCCTTCATGTTGCCCCTGACTGCTTTGAGAAGTGTCATTTTAAAAACTGAGCAGTCCACATTAATCGAAGTGCCTGGCATCTGGTTGTGGGGCATTTCCCCCTCTTTTGATTTGTGCTTTAAGTAATAGCATACTAGAAACACCGCCACAATGAATAGAATTGTGTTTTGCTCAATCCTTATGGTGCATCTCTGGTAACTGCTGTAGCATCGCACCTGCAGAGTTTGAGGATATTCAGAGAAACCAGCATTGTGACAGTCCTACAAAATGCCATTCATGGTAACAGCTATATCTACTCTATCAAATACAAAAGGCCAGGGTGCCAGAGACAAGCTTTCACAGGCTCTGTCTGTTAGGCATTTCAAAACAGAACTGTTAGACTGGAGAGTGGGTTCAGAGATTAAAGCGCTGGTTGAACCTCTTTCAGGGGTTCAATTCCCAGCAAGCACATGGTGCCTCCCAAGCTTCTGGAATGGGATCTGGTGCCCTCTTCTGGCCTGCAAGCATTCATGCTGGCAGAATACTGTAAAGAATAAATAAATGAGTAAATAAATAAATCTTAAAATGATATGGCCTTAAAAAATGAAATCAAATTTTAGTCTCGTTAAATATGTAATCGCCTTTTCAAAGTTCATCTTTAATCTATAGACGCCTTTAAAAATCAAAATCAAATTAAATCCCTTTTCAAGAGGTACCATCGCAATCTGAACCAAGCAAAATCAAACTCCAACAGTTTATATAAATAACTCAACGTCAATTATCTGGGATTCACTCCTGACCATAGCAAAGGGCTATGGTCAGTTCTGCTCCATTCTCTTGATTTTTCCTCTAAGCTCTAGCTGCCCCTGTTCCGCGGCTGCTGCTGTTTTTGGTGGTCTTCTCATGGTCCTGGCATCTCCAAAAAGCTTGGGTCCCTCGCTGCAACTGGGCTGCACTTTCCCCAATGCCTCCTAGGCTCTCCTTATGGTACCAAGCCTCAATTTCTCTGCAATACCCCTTCTCTTCAGCCCTTCACCTTCATCATCTACCTTTCCCGGCCTCTCACAGTGTCAAGCCTCAGCTGCTCTGCATGATCCCTTCATGTCTTCGAAACCAGTACTGCCTGGGTTACACTTGCACATTACCAAGTCCAGCTGCCAGCACGAAGTGCAACTATGCCTCCTCTGGAGCGTCACAAGAAACCCTTCCCAGACTCCACTAATGATGCTGGTCTCTTCTTAATCACCGCTAATTTCTTAGCCCCAGCTGACCATCAAGTAGCCCATCCCAGTAATGAAAGGTTTCACTTTAGTGGTTCAGGTATCTTGTTAATCACAGCTGATTCTTCAGTTCCAGTTAGCCAGAACCACAGAACCTTACATCAAAACGGCAGCCTTGATAGTCTTTATAATTTTCCCTCTGAAATTTCCCAAGCCAGGCCTCCATCTTCTGCACTGCTCTCAACGTTTTTATCTCCCGAGCTCCTACAGAACGTCCCACTGAGCTCTCAACACTCAATGGCTTTTCTAGCACAAAGTTCTAAAGTCCTTCCACGATCCTCCCCAAAACATGTAGTCAGGTCTGTCACAGCAATGTTCCACTACACTGACACCACAAACTTTTGCACCTCACTCACCCAGGCTCCTTTGCAGGACTTGTCTACCTCTTCCTACCAACCAGATTGTAGATAAATAAGGCTTTGTGTCTTCATTGGCTCCTTATGTTCGTACTGGGTAAACAGATTTCAGGTAAAATGTTGTTGCCTCACACAAACAATGGCCAGAACTAGAAAAAACTATCCTAAGGGAGGTAACACAAAACATAGTATGTACTCACTCATAAGTGGATACCGGACATAAAGCAAAAGATACCTAGCCTACAAACAGTGCATAACCCCAGAGAAGCTAGAACCCTTTTCCAGAAACAGATAAAAGCAGATGGGCCAAGCTCCTAGCGCGCAATCAGAGTAAAGGAGGGAGGAGCGAAAATATGATCAAAGGAGTCAAGACCTTGATGGGGAAACCCACAGAATCAGCTGACCAGAGCTAGTAAGAGATCACTGACTCAGGTCTGACAAGTGGGGAGCCTGCATAAGATCAAAGTAGACTCCCTTAATATAGGCGACAATGGTGCAACTGGGACAATATATGAGGCCACTGGCAATGGGTTCAAGGTCTATCACTAATGCACAAACTGACTTAGCGGAGCCCATTCTATATGGAGAGACACCTTGACCAGCCTAGACAATAAAATAGGGTTTTCATTTCCATCCAATGGGCCAGAGAGGCTTATATGAGGCAATTTTGTCATTTAGAATTCTAGGAGTATTGGAGGCCCTTTCCTCTACTCAGGGATTTATACCTCAACAGTATGCTTTTTCATTTCCACAATCTTACCAATATTTATGCTTACTCTACCTATTCTTTATACTCAATAATATTTTGCTTCTCAATTTTATTGGATTTGTGTTCTTAGTATCCCTCCTCCAAACAAGTTAAGCTATAAGAAATGAGATCACAAATCAGCCAAACAGGATGATTAGAGTACTTGTGTTTAAAAACAACAACAAAAACAAATAAAAACAAAAACCAAAACCAACAAACAAAAAAACTGGCTAGACTTGGTGACCCAGGCCTTTAATGCCAGCACTCTTGAGTCAGTGGTAGGTGGCTCTGTATGGATTTGAGGCCAGCGTGGTTTACATGGATTCCAGGCCAACCAGGTAGCCAGGGCTACATAGTGAGACCCATTCATTCTGTAGGAGATTAACTAGCATAATGAAGAAGGGGAAGGCCTTTAGGTTAAAAAACTAACATGGTCGTGCAAGCCTGTAATCCTAACACAAGAGGATCATTCTGGCTACATGGGACTTGGAGGCGGACTAGCTTTGGCTACATGAAACCCTATCTTTCAAAAAAGGGTGGGAGGGTAAGTGGTGGTGGCAGAAAGATGGCCCAGCAGTTAAAAAAGCACTAACCTCTCTTCCAGGAAACCCAGGTTATATCTCTGCTACCCACAAGGTGGTGCTTCTAACTCCATTCCTTGGGATACGTCTCCCTCTTCTGGCCTCCAAGGGAACAACACCCACTCCTGATGCACAGACATGCAAAGTACCCATGCATAAAATAGTTTTCTAGATTTTATTTTTTAATTAACTTATTTCTCTGAGTAATGTTGGTTTGCCTGCATATATGTCTGTCCAGGTGAGGCTGTCAGATCTCGTTGTGAGCCACCATGTGGGTGCTGGGAATTGAACCCAGGTCCTCTGGGTCTGCTGAGCCATCTCTCCAGCCCTCAGTTTTCTAAATGTTAAGGGAAGAAATTATCACATACAAACTCAATGTTTTCAAAACAAATCATTTTATTTGACAACAAACTCCCCTCATCCACCCGCACCCACCCGCACCCACCCCCTGGCTTGTTATGACATGTATGTGACTTTAGATTGCTTTATGGTAGTCATTGGTTGATGCTAAGCAGCATTTTTTTGATCCTCAAAAGTCACAAAAAGTTCTGGATTCCACATCAGCTCACAAGTCCAAGTATCTTCCATGCCTTTTGGTATAAGAACTCTTTTATAGTTGGTTGGGAAGATGACGATATTGTCTTTAACATCAATAGATTTATTTACAAGTTCGTTTATGCAACCAAAGCAGATGATAATTAAGATGCTCCTTGTTTTTGCTTAATCGGTAGTCATGTTGATGGCAGAAACTGTGAAAGGAAAGCTTTTAGTTATTTTTTTCTTTGCACTTTACAGGAATGTAGCCCCCATCCTTACCCATACAAAGGGATGTTACTGAGTCCAGCCAATCCCATGAATTTAAAGCTAACATTAGTAACACTTTAGCTGTGTGATGCCCAATTTAGTTTTAATAAAAACAAAACAAACAAAAAACTCCCCAGACCTCTTCAACCTGGCTCCTTCTACTCTTTCCTTTGTGTGTCAACATTGGCTTGCCAAGCAAAGTACAGTCTAATACTTTATAAGTATGTATAAGTATGGGCTACAGTGAATAAGCCCCCTTACAGCAAATTGTGACTTAAGCTTTAAGGCAATTTGGATAAAGAAATCACATTGATTAAATTAATATGTTTCATTCCTATCTAACTCAAGGCTTAGCTGAAAACCATTTAGATGAAAATACATTTTCGAAATGTTAATAATTTGATACCTCTTCTCAACATTGTTTAGTTATTGGAACTGCATTAAAGCAAAGAACAAGCAGTCCCAATTTAGGTTCCATATAACAGTAATGTTCTTAGGACCAATTGAGAACAAAGGTAAGCAGGTCTTTAGACATAGATTTGACCTTTTCCTTCACTCTTCCTCCTGTCCCACCCTCTGTGAGTGAAGAAAAAAAAAAAAAAAAAAAATAGAAAAGGTCAATCACAGTCAGCCCTCTTGTAGAGGCTTTTTTTCAAAGTTCTTTTTTTTGATAGTCTTTCTTTCCTCCAATTTTCTGGTTGTTTCCAATTTTATTCTCAAATTTTATGCAAGCATGCTAAAATTTTATGTTATTTTCATCCACTGGCCTTATTTTACTGTAGCAATCCGCCTTGAGTACATCTTTTACAGGAAGGAAAACATTTTGAAAATTGATGTATGCTATCTGACTCTATGAAAGAGATCTATTCCGTCAGTTTATGCTTTGGAATGTTTAAAAGGTAAAAAGCTTGAAGACAGACAAAATTTGTAGACGTATTTCAAAGCCTGCTGCCATTCAAAGACAGACTGTTTTTCCAGGGATAATACTAAGACAGAAGTTGGGGAACTAGGTGGCTGTCTGTTATCCTTCCTGACCAGTAGTGGTCACGGTCATAGGTAAAAGTAAGTCATGGGCTAGAATATTTAAGAGGGCTTTTTGTTTTTTGTTTTTATTTATTTATTTATTTATTTATTTTTGGTTTTTATTTGTTTTTTAGCAGAGGGCTCACAACTTTAAGAGCAGGCTTACTTACTACAAAGCCCAGCTTCCTCCTGTCCATTGTAGTGGCCAGTGAATAGATGAGCATGAGGAGTTATGCTACTTGTTCCTTGGGGACTGAGTCATGCCACTACCCATAAAGCAGACCCAAAGTTCAGCAGTTCCCTGGGAACGTATGCCTATTTGTTTATGTATTTTACATCGCACGAGCCAAATGAAGGCGTTAGATGCAATTACGTGTAAAGTAGATGAAGAAAATGAATGAATAGTAACATTCCTCCTATATTCTAACCTGAGTCAATTAAAAAGCAAATGTGTTTCAGTCTAGAAAACGTTTGAGCTAATATTTCTTTTTAATGAAGAGCATCACTCTGCCTTTCAAGGCACCTGTAAGTCACACTAAATAAATAAATACCTTTGAAATCACTGATTTCATCTTGATCCTCCTTTGAAACACTTTGAATGAAAGGACAGAGTTTACCTTCTCTTATCCTGGCTTTAAACTAAGCCAGTGAGCAAATGACCTTTGGCGCTTTCTTAGCTAGGGATGTCTTATGTTGAATGAATCGTGGCCTTGATTTTTTTTTTTTTTTTTTTTTTTTTTTTTTTAATCTCTAGGTCAAGTCATTGGTTCTACTATACCAGACCTATTTAACTAATTCATCAAGCATAGCACCTCCAAGCAAGCAGCTAGTAGCTACTAAAATATTATTTACTCAGTAATTAGATATATTCTATAGGCTGGGCATAGGTACACACATCTGTAATCTCAGCACTCGAGAGTGTGTAACAGATTATCACCAACTAGAACCAGCTTGAGCTGTACAGTGAATGAGACTATGTCTTGGTGTCTCCTCCTCAGCAGGTTGGTGATTGCTACTGCCCTTTACAGTAGGTCCGCCTTACATTGTAGCTTTAGGACCTAGATTAGCATATGATATATATATTAGCATGTATATATGTTTTTATTAGATATTACGGTTTGAATGTGAAATGACCTAGATTAGCATATGATATATATATTAGCATGTATATATGTTTTTATTAGATATTACGGTTTGAATGTGAAATGTCCTTCACAACCTCATGCTCTGGGTGTTTGGTCCTCAGCCAATACTTCTATTTTGGGAGGTTCTGGACCACATCAAGTACGTAGCATCTGATGCTCTGGCTCCTTCTTGTCCTTCTGTTCCCTGACATTCAGGCCTGACTCTGGGCCTTTCTTTTCACACCTTTACTGGCAGGTTCTAATTTATCTGCAGGAGCAGTAGTCAACATTTAAGAAACTGGATGGAAAAAAGCAAACAAAACTTTTTCCCCCATCTCTTCAGTCAAGGCAGCAGGGAAGTATCCTTATCTCAACATTTAGCACACCGCGATATACAAATCACTGAAGTTAAGTACAGTTTCGGTCTAGGATCTCACATGTCCTGTGAGTACTTCATGAGAGAAAGCAATCTCTGGACAGCACATAACACAGTAAAATACATACATTAGATGGTAAGTATCCTGAGTAAGTTTTAGCTATGAAGAAACTCAGAAAGTTGTCACTGTCCATGGATGAAGCCCACAGTAAGGTCCTGACTTGTAGAAATGCAGACATCATAAAGCCCCCACTGTTGTGGGCAATAATGTTGTAGATAATAATAGTGATAATGAGTTTTGGTATTCCCAGTGTCTGGGGATAAAGGCAACTAACTGACTACTAGGCACATATGGCACCTTACAAATTATAATTAACTATTTTGTAATAAGTGATTGCCACTCAAGTCTTGCATTCATCCGATGCTGAGTGCCTCATGTTCACAGTGTTGAACAGTTATTTGCTTTATTTGCACAGTATAATACATGTGACAGAATTTTAAAAAGCCTGGAAATTGGTACCAAATAAGAAAATGAATTGTTATGTTTATATGGTACCGCAAAGTTCATAAAATGCCAACATATACATTACTTTCAACTTTGGGTACACCGAAATGTAAGTCTGTGTATTTCTCCGGTACCCATAAGAAAGAATATACCATGTATAGGTAATCAATATTGTTATATTCATTCAGCAGGCATTTAACCTCACTGCGTTCCAGGGCTAGCCTCAAATGTCTGCGCTCAAGCGGTCCTGCTGCTTTAGCTGCCTGAACTCCTCAGCATATGCTACACCCAGCTTGCTAACTATTTATACTATCCTTCTCATCGTAGGCCAAGAGTACAATGAGAATTTTGTAGTGACCATGCCTGTTTTATAGGCAGTTTTGTTTCTATAGAAAACATGTATTGTCTTACATTTCTGTAGTACTTTATGGCTAAGAAGGTATATACAGCCATAACATTTTCCTCCATTACCAGGGCAAATGTTCTTGTGTTAGCTTGCCCTCATCACTAAAGTCTTGACTGATTCAAGTAAGCATTATCTCATTCCTTGGACATAGTATAGAATGTAAACATTCGTACTTCATGGCAGAGTTACTTAACGACAATTTATCTTAGGTTTCCTGTACCTAACACAAAACCTAACATATAGGAGGGGGTTAGTATTCATTCATTCATTCATTCATGCACATAGAGCTATTGACGATTGTACAGTGCTTTAGTTTACAAAGCACTTTCCTGTGTTCTTTTTAAAAAAAAATGTCCCTCTTATTCCTGGTGCTGAGCGATTAGGATATTTTGCAAATTATCAGGTGATCACAATAGGGTAGTCACTTGCATTTGTAGCATATTTTTTAATTTAAAATCAGTTTCCATGTGTTTTCTTGTCTGCTATCTCGTATAATGTATTTTACTGAAAATCATCAAAGCAGTAGAAACACATTGGCCTTAAGTATATAGATTATGCCTCATTCAAGCCATAGTATTTTTTTTTTTTTTACAAAGCATGTTGTTTACTCGTTATGCCTACAGAAATCTTTGTACCCATAGCAAATAGACTAATAGAATGCATGTACTAGGTAACATGTATTCATGCAACACTGACTTAGGAGTTTTAGTGTGCTTTACGGTTTATAATTATCCATTTTTATGTACCTGGTAACATCTTCATGTTACCTGGAAGTGACCACAATTAAGCATCACTTCCTTAGTGCTCAGCACAAAGATAGGCATAGAGAAGGAAAATACTGTTACTCAGACATTCCCTGGCATTTATATGATGGCTTGGTCAAGTTCAGGCAACTGGCCTTTTGAAAAGGTTTTGGTTTTTGTTTTGTTTTGCTTTTGCTTTTTCCTTTTTCCTTTTTTGGAGAATATGCGACTGAGACCAACAGCCCAGAAAGCCTCAGGTATTTATAGTCTGACTCCTTACAGGAAAAGCTCAAATTACATTTTCAAAGGTTAAGTATGCATGGCTGCCAATGTGCTATGAGGATGTGACTTTTTTTTTCTCCTGTGTTGTATCAGTCATTTAAGTCAAGTTCCCTCTTAAAGGGGGCAGGAGAAACGTGAAGCCTATTAAACAGTACCCAAACTCACTCATCATTAATCCTAAAGGTGGGTGTTAAACCCAGGAGTAGATTCAATGAACTCCACCAAATTACTTGGCCACCACAATGAGCAGGGAATTCAGACCTCGGTCACTCCCAAACCTAATCACTGCTACCATTCATTATGAGAAATCCATACCGTGCTGACCTAAGCCCAAAGAAGGAAGGTGATGCTGGCTGATCCTTCTCAGAAAGTCTGCACACTTGCGTATTGCTTGTCTAATTCTTCTCATTGGTCTGAAGCAGGTCTTCATATTTATCTAGATAGCCTGGTCCTGTTCTCCTCTAACAGTCTGATGCTTTCCTTCCTCATATTAGGGCTTCTGAGTTAGGGAGGACAGAAGAAGTACAGCATCTGTATGGATGCTTGCTTCTAGGGGAATACTGAAAGTCAAACTAGAAACTACTGGCTGGATTTTGTTCTCTCTCACATGGAGCAGATGTGAAGAGAAATGGAAGTTTGAAAACATTAAAAAAATTAACAAATGGATAAATCAAGTTTAAAACAGACTATAGATTGACGCCTGTACAATACTATCATTCTAAAAGCTTGTCCCTTTATATAGTAAATGACAACATTGAAATGTACACCTCAAGCAAATCTGGCTTAAATGGAAATCTAAGAAATAAAAGGGAACGCTGAGAATGTCCAAGAGAAGAGGGTTTAACAGTATGAAAGTTAGGGGGAATCTCATCTTCAGATTTCCCCTGGTTTGGGGATTCTATCCCTCCAGAGTTTTAGGCCGTAGGCCTCCAATTTCTAGCCTTTGTCTCTATCCATATAGGCTTGAGTCCTTAGGTCTTGAGCTTGGACTTAGCTTGGGTTTTGTGTCTTATGACGTAGGTCTCAGTTCTTAGACTTCATATGGGTCCATCCTGTAGAAAAGCAGCCTCTCTCCTATGGGTTGTCAGCATTCTCTGTCCATCCAGCCAGCTCAGATAGGGCCTTCTGTGTTCCTTGGTCCTTAAGTCGCAAGTCACAAAACATCTGTCTTCCACTTTGGGCCTTTTCATGTGTTTATTTCAGTTCTGCTTCAATCCTGACCGAAGTGCTGTCAGTCTGCCATGAGGAACAGCTCCACTGGTGAGATTCTGTGCCTATTGGGAAGGGGATCACACAAGCACGCACGCACGCACGCACATAGGCACACGCACATAGGCACACACACAAAGAAATAGCATAGCCAAGAGAAGATTAGAGTAAGAGAGGGAGACACAGACTTTTAAAGACACTAAAATGCTCAGAGTGAGTAAAGGGGGAAGTAGAAGAGAAAGTAACACAAACAAGCACAAAGCAATGGAGTAATGCAAATAGCAAAGACACACAGCTATGAAGGGAAAAAGAGAAAACAGCGCAAAAAAGGGCAGAAAGTATAAAGAGAATTATGCGCTAAGAATAGAAATAGCAGAAAGATCACACAGGCACCAGGAGAAAACAAGACAAAACTCTACAAGGAAGTGGTTAGCAGAGAAACATGGGAAAAGGTAAGATACACTATAGATGGAAGAGGAAAAGACACATAAGGAAGGCATAGACATCAGAGCAAGCAAGGAAGAAAGACGCACAAGGCCAGGGAGAAAGACATAGAATACAAGTCAGGGAGAAAGACATAGACTACAAGGCAGGGAGAAAGACATACAAGCAAAGAAGAAAGACATAGAATACAAGGAAAGGAAGAAAGACTTAGAATACAAGGCAGGGAGAAAGACATACAAGCAAAGAAGAAAGACATAGAATACAAGGCAGGGAGAAAGACATAGAATACAAGGAAAGGAGACAGACATAGAATACAAGGCAGGGACAAAGACATAGAATACAAGGCAAGGGAGAAAGACACAACACAATTCAAGGAGAAAGACATAGACTACAAGGAAAGGAAGAAAGACTTAGAATACAAGGCAGGGACAAAGACATACAAGGAAAGAAGAAAGACATAGAATACAAGGCAGGGACAAAGACATAGAATACAAGGAAAGGAAGAAAGACTTAGAATACAAGGCAGGGAGAAAGACATACAAGCAAAGAAGAAAGACATAGAATACAAGGCAGGGACAAAGACATAGAACACAAGGCAGGGACAAAGACATACAAGCAAAGAAGACATAGAATACAAGGAAAGGAGAAAGACATAGAATACAAGGAAAGGAGAAAGACATAGAATACAAGGAAAGGAGAAAGACATAGAATACCAGGCAGGAGAAAGACATAGACTACAAGCAAAGAAGAAAGATATACAAGGCAACGAAGAAAGATACAAGCCAAGAAGACATCCGAGCATGGAAGACAGACATACAAGCAAGGAAGAAAGACATACAACACATGGCAAGGAATAAATGGACACAAAGAAAAATTAACAATACAAAGCAAAGAAGGACATACAAAACAAGGAGGAAATATATACATTAAAAAAATTAGACACACAAAGCTAGGAAGACATAAAGCAAGGAGTGAAATGGCCACATAGAATTAGACAGACAAAGAACGGAAGAAATAGATGAATAGAGCAATGAAAAAACAAACGCACAGCACAGCACACACTCACTTACAAGTGAAAGAAGTAAGCAAAGTTCAACAGTAAGAGGGCAAGGGGGGGGGGCGGGACCAGACAGGGAAGGGGGGAGAAAAAGGGCTATTAGTACAGTGCTGCTTCGCATACGGGTACTACCTATACTACTCCTGATATTAGTAGATCACAGTAATCCCCTTCTATACTATGTTAAGGAACTCCTTAACATAGAACCAAACAAGCATATCAGCTCTGCTCACTACAGAATGTTTGTACTCACTTAAGATAATCCAGGGTATATGTTTTACTTGCCAGGCATTATATTAAGCACTTTCATTAATGATTTCAATTGACCTTCACAAACAGGCAACTCTGACCAGAGAGGACATTGGCAAAGGCCATACCACCAATGAGCAGGAGATTTAAACACAGGATGAACACCACTTAACATTCTGTTATATGGATTTTCTGATTTCCATAAGCGCCACATGTCACAGGTGAGTGCGTATTTTAATTGTTAGATTCCCTTTCCCCATCATTTCAAGAAAATGGGCTCTTAAGAACAGCAGAACACCAAGCCAAAAGAGGCAACTTGTGGCTGTATTCCTGTGTGATGCCACTGGTGACCAGACTAGAATCTGAGTGGCTGCTGTGAACCCAATTGGTAATAAATAATGTGGAAGCCTGATCATCCTCCATGTGTATTTGGCCCTACTTTACATAACATTAGGAACTCCACACTCCACCCAGCACGGCCTGATGCTAACCCTCCCTCATAGGACTGCAATGCTCCAACTTACTTCATTCTGTTGTGGTTTTAAGATGCAGGCATGTTGGTCCTTGGCTCATGAGGCTGGCTTCCCTTCATGATCCTGCTGAAGATGCAGCTTCCTGTACTGCTTTGGGGAAGGATGATGACCTGGTAGGTGGAGCTACAAAAGAACAAAAGAAGCTGTGTGAATGTCAGGTAAGAAGTACTAGAGGGTCCTGGTTCTTGAAATTTTGTCTGCTATAGATACGTCTGTATCATTTTCAGTCAGGTTTCCATTTGTAGTTAGAGGCGTTTGTCATCATTCATGTTAGCAGGGGAAAAAAAAAAAAAAGTTACTCACTGGATATTCTATCCTGTGGGTAGCACAGTGAATCTTGATGTATGCAAACAGCTGGTAAGCTTCTCCTCCAGAGCTTCCAGGGACTTTGAGAAGCAGATGAAACAGAACGACTTGCTCGTGATGTCGGTGCCACTACTGTGGCAGCTTTTTGTCCTAGAAGAAAGAACCATTTGCACAGTTTAGTTACAGTTCTCTACTGCACTGTGCGGGTCTACCCTACACACACACACACACACACACACACGCACACACACACACACACACACACGCACACACGCACACACACACACATACCTTCACAGCCTTACAGTAAAATGCCTCCCTGTTAGTCAGGAAGCTGTTCTTATGAAAACAGACACAGACAGGAAAATGATATATAACTCAAGTGTGGGGTTGAAAAGATGACTCAGCACTTAAGAACACTGGCCACTCTTCCAGAGGTCCTGAGTTCAATTCCCAGCTACCACATGGTGGCGCACAACCATCTGTAATGAGATCTGTTCTTCTGGCGTGCAGGTGTACAAGCTGACAGGGCGGCGCGCGCCTGCACACACACGCATGCACGCACACACGCACGCACATGAGTAAAGGCTGGCTGCGGTAGGGAAACAAGATCATAATTATAGTTACTTATTACACTGTCACAGAAATCTTACCTATTGTGATTGACGTAGGGTGGCTATCTTTGACTCTTTATCTCCCTTGCTGGCCTCAGCAAAGTGTCTCAGTGAAATCCCCAGGGCTAGGGCTGTTGTCCAGTGGTGGTGAGCTATTCCCCTGGAGGATCCTTATGCCCCATCTCCTCCTAGGGATCGTCAAAGGGAATAGGTCACCAACACAGGAAAGCAACGAGCCCATACTTCTTGGGGAAGATCTAGAAAAGGGGTCAAAGAAACACAAATTATTGAAGTGAAGTACATTGGGAAATTTGCTTTGCTTCTGTAGTATGCAGCAGGTAAATCATGTAGACTTTATGCTGTTGTTAGGGTGGCTTGGAAGGTGGACCCTTACAGATTAGTAGATCCTTATGTTATGGCTATCAACTTAGTAGTGGCATGAGAATTGCCCTGCCTGAGCTCCTTTCTGCCTTTATTCTCTATTATCTATCCACGAGTAATCCTTTATAGTATACATTGTTTATTAACTTTTGTACATTCATCATCAAATACACTGGGAACAAAGGGGTCAAGCAAATGAGAGGTGAAACAAGTGGAAGAAGCCAAGCTTTCTCAACCAAGTGGGCTATGAAGCCACTTAGATAAACTCCATCCAGATTCCCTGAGTTCTGTAAGGATCTTCCTTCATGTTGCCCCTGACTGCTTTGAGAAGTGTCATTTTAAAAACTGAGCAGTCCACATTAATCGAAGTGCCTGGCATCTGGTTGTGGGGCATTTCCCCCTCTTTGATTTGTGCTTTAAGTAATAGCATACTAGAAACACCGCCACAATGAATAGAATTGTGTTTTGCTCAATCCTTATGGTGCATCTCTGGTAACTGCTGTAGCATCGCACCTGCAGAGTTTGAGGATATTCAGAGAAACCAGCATTGTGACAGTCCTACAAAATGCCATTCATGGTAACAGCTATATCTACTCCATCAAATACAAAAGGCCAGGGTGCCAGAGACAGCTTTCACAGGCTCTGTCTGTTAGGCATTTCAAAACAGAACTGTTAGACTGGAGAGTGGGTTCAGAGATTAGAAGCGCTAGCTGAACCTCTTTCAGGGGTTCAATTCCCAGCAAGCACAT